ATGTTCCTCCATCAGGAGAAATAACATTGCAGGCAGATTGGACTCCTTCACCCCTGTAGCTGTCTTGCAATTTTCTTAAATATGTACTGGAAGATTCAGGGAGCCGCCAGAGCAAATTTGTAAGAACATAGGCAGTGTGGAAGAAAGGAGAACAAGGAAACTCGCATTACATGAGTTGGTCTGGTTGTGTGGGATTAGAATCCCCTTGGTGCACATGTGTACATGATGTGTATGTGGAGGGATGAGACTGGGATTTTAACTGGTAGCCCTCACAACCATATATCTAAAGTCTTGTTTTCATATAGTTTATATTTATATTTGGATATGCATAATCTCCAAACATGTACACTTCTTTTATGTAATCTATTTTTGAAGAATGTAAATTGTACATAAAATGTTTATATATGGTTGAGTGCATCTGTGTAAATTTCTGTGGAAAGTGGATCTTGAATGCACTCCTAGGGGGAAGTTTTCAATTAGCAAGCAAGACTTTAATCTCTTCTTAAGCAAAGCATACATCCATTTGCGCACTTACTAAATATCTGTGAGGGAATAGATATTAGGAAAAGATGGACTCCATAGAGTGGAGATGGAGATGAAGATGAAGCCAAAAGTATGTAGCAAAAGATGGGATAATGTATGACAAATGGATATACATGAACACTAAAGAGATAGGGAGAGATTTGTTTTAACTGACTACAATCTCCAGATTTAAATAGATTAGATTTAGCTTGTCAGGTCTCTCACAGTATGTTTTCCAACTGCATATAGACTTTTAAAAAATTATTGTACTGAACTGAAGGCTTATTATTATTATTGTTATTATAATCATTATATGTTGCCTGACTCCCAATGACTCTGGGTGGTTACTATGAATTTACATTGTCTAAGTTCCATGGAAATCTCTCAGAAAAAATTAAAACAGTAATTTTAAAATTTTACAGTATATAAAATCAACAGTTTTACCAATTTCAGTTCTCCTTCTATGCTAAAAATCAGGTTTAGGGATTATGAATATGAACTTTATGAAAGAGAAGTTTGGATGTGTGATGGTTCTGCACAATGTATCTCTATAATTACTTTAGAAGAAAGATTGCAATCCTTGTGAAAGAGGGATTTCTCTAATAAGAGAAAACAAAATGTTAGCACTATAAATATTTATTCCCATTACATTTAAATTGTGTATAAAGTATTGTCACAACAGATGGTAACATAATCTAGTCCTGTTTAGCTTTTGGATAGAATTCCATTAAGAATCCCAGGCCATGGACTAAATTGGGAAATCTTTAGGAATATGGGAAGAAAGCAGCTGGCATAGCTGTACTGTTTTTGCTGAGAAAACTACATCTACATGCCCACATGGTCACTAGGAATAAAGCTCAGCTTGAGGAATGATTTACCTTTACCTTTTTGCAAAATACACAAAATTGACTGCACAGTTTGTAATTCCCTCTGCAGAACTGTTTGATTTGAGAACCTGTTATTTTCCATACAGGCCTCTGGCTAGCAGAGAAGCAAGCTTTTCTGAGTGCCTAACAGTGATCTGTGTTTTCACAAATAATCGTTCCAATCCAGTGTCTTGTGAAGGATTGTCGATTGTGACCCGCGTGTCTAAAATCTGAATGCTGTTATCAGTCTTTCTACTTGCTATAAAATTTGATTCAATTCTCCATGTCTTTCATGACTGCTCAGGTGTTACCAGCTGCGCTTCTAAGGGTCAGGAACAATGAAGCGAAGCTGATGTGATGACATTCTGGATATGCCAAAGAGTCACTGAAGTGCATTCATGAATATTGCATAAGACACATATACTTAAAATGTGTTGCTAATACCAATGTTAAAAATCCATTCTTTCTTTAATGCTGAATTAATTTCTTAGATAGTGGATGTTCAGATGGGGCTTTGTCTTTTTATTCGGCTTATAGAATATTTAGACAACAACAGCGGTTGTAATAAAAATATGCCAATTATAATATTCCCCCCCAAAAAAACTTTTGCTTGAAAGTTGTCCAAATATATGATTTGTGCTGTTTTAAAACAAAGTTTTTATTGTGTATGCATAATGTTACAAATAAGGTATTATCTTTGCCTTGAACAGGGCCAGACAATAATACCATTGTTTGTCATAGACAATAATGATTTGGTGCTGTGCCAATCACTATGCAACCTTCTTTATGCCACAGCAGCACCCGGTAATGTTGTGGAAGCTGCCACGGTCTTTCACTGACCTTTTGGTCTTAATGGACTATGTATACCTGAGTTCCTGAAGAATTTATTTGCCTCTGGTCTGATCAGGTAGTAAAAATAAATGGAAAATGGATTCACTTGTTTAGGAAAAACACGACTTTTTCATGTATGCTGTGAAAAAGTAAAACAATATCACATTTAGCAGCAACACGCTCATTACTTCATGGATGAATTTTTCAAAAAGTGCATTTTATTTCCTCAGTCTCTACCAAATGATGATACACACTTGAGTCCATGGGTACTATACCATCTGTTATTTACATCATTCACATCATAAACTGCTACTCACATAATTGTGTGAGTGTTACCTGGTCTGATTCAGCCCACAGCATACTGGGATAGCTGCAAGTAAAATAATTTGGATTAGGTAAATGGATAAAAACTGGTCCAGGGATATTCACACCGTTGCTTTGCTGCATTTAATATCTTTCAAGCCTTTTTCAAACAATTGTTATGGAAACAGTTTGGGGTAATCTGCACATAAATTGGAACGTCTGATTATATTTTAGAAAAATTGAAATATGAATATGTTCTAATTAAATGATGCAAAAAAGAATTAAGTCGTGAAAGAAATGAGTACACCTTTGGAAATATACCAGATCAAGAAACAAACTTACAAGTCAAGGAGTCAAAAGTTTGTTTCAATAAAGGCAAATGTTTCATTTCTATAGGTCATTAAGATAATATAAATGATTGAAAGAAACTGCTGTACTTTAATTTCAAAAATGAAATTGCTCAGACAGCTGTACATGTGGCAAAATATATATCTAAGCCTAATTTAACACTTTTCCCCCCTGAAAATGAATGCTTTCTGTATCTATCAGGCATCTTCCTTCCTTTAAGTACAATGCCGATCATTTCTTACATCTGCAATGTTATTTTTTTGTTTGTTAGCTTCTCTTAAAGAGGCAAAAATAAAGCTACATTCCTTAAATTAAAACATTTCAAAGTAAATTCAAGCAATAAATTACCTAAGTAAGCTATAATTTTAATATCTATGCACATACTTTGATAAGCAAACCAAGTTTACATAATGCATTTCATAAAATATGTGACTAAAGAATACTTAAAAGTAAGCAGTGCATGTTTAACTTTCCTGACTTTTTTTTTTTTAACTTGTAAGATATTTTTCCCCCACTGCTTCAAAATTTGTGGAAATTTTACATTTTTACAGTGCCTTAAACTGTAAACTATATTTATATAAGTGTAATCCAGGGTCCTTCTAAAAACTTGATCAATTGCTTTTATTCTCTTATGCCTGTATAACAATCTTTCTCTAGATAGAATAGTGAGTGAGATGTTTTCTTGTATTCCATTTAAGACTGTAATCCTTTAAGATCAGGCCAAATGCCTGTCTAATGCCTGATCTTATAGGATTACAGTCTTAAACGGATGCCTCTTGGAAGCCCACAGACAGACTGTTGTAACTAAAATCTTTAATAAAAATGAAAAAAAGGAAGCCCACAGACAGAACAAAATGACTATTGCCCTCTCTAGTAATTGAATAAATATCCAGAAAATATCACTTCTGATTAGTATTTAACATAATATAAATTGTTATAGCCTAATCACAATAAATTAAATCCTCTTTGGGCAGCAAATTCTATATACTGCATAAAGACTTACTATACACACTTACCTGAAAATACTCCCCACTGAACTCAGGTTCATGAATTGGGTTTGAATTTGGAAGTCTTAGATTCAAATCTCATATTAGTTATAAAGGCCTATAATGTGCTTTAGGCAACTGGCTGTCTAATTAACTACATTAATTATCATAAATTGGTAAGGACTAAATTCAATAGCCATGTTTATGCCACTTTGAGCTCCATGATAGGATGGAATACAAATAATCTAGTTTTTAATTATTATCAGTACAAATGTATTTTTTTATGGCTAAAACCTCTTCATTGTATATATGGTTTTTAAAACCTAATTTCCAGGTGGTTAGAAAGTGAGAAAAGAAAAGGAAAATCCTTATGAACTAAAAGGCATTTTGGGATTTGGAGTGGGAGGGGCAATCCCTAGAACTACTGTGAAGAAGTCTTCACACAAGGTTATTATAGCAACCCAGTGATTACAGGGTTTGACGTTTATATTTGATGCATTTTCCTTAATTGAGTTTAATATGTGTGACATAGCAGCATGTATTTTATTTGGTAAAACAAAGATTGATTGATTGGCAGCTGCCAAGAGATGGTGTCTTCCATCCATGTTAAGACATTTTAATTCCTGATTTTCATCTCAAGTGTCTTAAGAATTAGAGACAAGCTTTTAGCTCAGTGGCAGAGCATCTGCTTTGTTTGCAGAAAGCATTGGAGTATCCAGGTAGATCTTGGAAAGGCCCTTGCCTAAAACTCAGCAGAGCTACTGAAAGTGAGTTCACATATCATGTTAAGCCTGACTTGGTTAACAGATGTAAGCCAGTTAGCTGGATATACTCAGCATGTTAAGCCAAAAAACAAAATTTATAAACCACAGTGGCTGGATTCATACAACACTCAAACTAAATGTTAATAACACTGAGTTGCATGGACCAGTGAGAATTTAAGGCAGCTTTATATGAGTCTGTTGGCTACTGCTGAATTATAGTACTTAGTGGGAAAGTACAGCAGAGTTTATCACCTGAAGTAGTGGAGAAGGTCCTATGATATAAACTGACTATCTTGGTAATTTCCTCCTCGTTCTGGGTTAAAAGAGCTCCTCAGATCATAAACTTTGTAGGACTCAACTGAGTGTGTTATCTTTTACAGCTCCCACCGTTCCTATTTGTCCTGCTGGAGCACCCTGGCCAAGTCTGGCTATAATTATTGCAGCATGCTGTGCCATACCAGTGTTTCTCTTTCTAGTGTTCATCATTTGCTACAAAGCCATAAAAAGGTAAGACTTTGTTAGCATATTCAAGCTTGATGCTACAAGATGAGCTGTTTCCTGAATATACCAACATGTGGATACTGGATTGTTGCAGATTCTGCAATTCTCTTTTTAGAGATACAGTAGTTACAATTTCTGAATTTACTCATTGCCCACAGAAATCCTCCATTGGCTGTGCCATTACTTCTTCAACAATTTCCCCTCCCATCCTTTCCCTTTCCTAGCTCATAAAAACTGTCTTGTTTTCATTAATTGAAAAATCAGAATAACCAAAAAACAAACACAGAGCTACTGATTTGGCCAGACCTAGTCCTGAGGGAAGAAGTGGCAAGCTTGATTTCTGGACTATTTGGGAGGGATGTACAGTTTGGGTTTTTCCTATGCCAGCATCAACCCTCTGAGTGGTTGATACTGGTAGAAGGAGGAAAGCCACATCATGGACTGCTCCATGCAGCCTGGACTTTCTTACAGAATAGTGGAGCAGGTGCTATGTCACAAAAGCCCCAATGCCACTGAAGTTGTATAAGAACCAGGCTTAGACAAAAAGCCCTTCATTGAATTATGAAATTCTATCTGTACCCTGTAGCTAGGAAATCATACATTAGAACTTTGTATGCATTTATTTTTCCCACTTGCACACAAAATTAGCATGTCTGTGATGTTACAAATGAAGCATAATTTGAGTTATTGATCTCTGTTTATATAGCAGTCAGGAATTCTTAGAGAAGGCAGGGTTAGAAACAACAGAGAAACCATAGAAATAATTCTTTCTATAGTTAACACACACATTGTGACTTTGTGCCTAAACTATAGTCAATGCAAGTCATGGCTTTGGGTGATATTGCAGAGACTATTGCACAGCTCCCGTTTGTATTGTTGGAGCTTGGATAAGAGAACGTACTGGTATATTACGTTTATTTTTGGAAAAATGTAGGTTAAGGATGTATGTCTATAAATTCAAAGCTTGCTGAGAGAAGTCAGGTTGTAGTTTTGTGTTTGCCCTGAGTAAATAGAGCATTTCACTGTTCCACTAAATTCTTCCAATAAATGCTCTGTTAAGCAGTTCCCTCAGGCCATTGGCAATAGCTTCAGTAGGTTCTATTAACCTTTAAAGTAATTTTACTCTGAAGTTAAGTTGCCTTTTCCATTCAACAAAAAATATGATATTAGTAAACAGCTTGAATTACATGAGAAACTTCCCTTTCATTTTTTTTTCCTTTATCAATGTTTAGAAGGCAAAGCAAAAATGATTTTTTTAAAAAAAGTGTGGACCATGGCAATTATATAGTTCATTTGTGATTTTTAGGGCAGTAACATTTTCTCCAGTTTGATCTTCCTGTGCAACAGAATCAGATAAAGGATTAAGTTGTAAAAATTGGAAGCGATAGAATGGATTATAATTCTTCATCTTGCAGATCTAGAATTAAATGTATCAATATTCCTTTAAATAAAAAAAACTCTTTTCTATTTACCAAATGCAAAGAAACTTCTGATTTTAGGTCTTCTTTAAACAAGCAAATAAATATATGGTTCAGCACTATTGCCTTACAGTCTGAAATCATATTGAATGCTTTCCCACTTCAAGATTCTTTCATCTCATTCTGCTGTTACATAGATCAGCTATAAATAGATGTTAAGCTTCAGAGTCTACATTTTTTCTGCTGGAACCCCAATATCCTCTAAGCAAAGCCTAGTTCAAAAGACATACATATATAAAATTAAAGTTCAGAATGTCTCTGAGCACATTTTGAGCTTGGGAACCTTCAGTATTAGAACTGAACTGAACTGAACTGAACTGAACTGAACTGAACTGAACTGAACTGAACTCAGTTTTCTTTGTAAAATTCTTGCTCACATGAAGCTTTCTGTGCTTTAGCAGACTGTTTTTAGATGAAAAATATGAAATGTTGCTAGTATCATTAAACAATTACTAATCTTCTTCAGGTCACCCAGAGGTCTATACTAGTCTACATTCTTACCTACCTTCTTTTCACACTAGTATAGACCACATCTTATTCTGCCAAAATAGTATTAGATATTCATACTGTTTAGCAGTATTCAGTCTACTGCAGATCCAATTCCTTCCTTTTCTTGTAGCACTTTGTCTGGGACAAAGCCAGAGATTTGACCCAGTCAAGATTAGGAAAATGTTCGGTGGGCTTTGAGTTGGAGACATTAGATTATTTGGAGAAGGGAGAGATACCACTGCAGTTCAACCATTTTGTAGCCAATTTTAGTGGTATAATCTGCCTTCAGTTGTGCAGCTCTTTTCTGGAATAACATTATCTCAGAATATTGACTTACTTGGGTTTTTATAAAGCAATTAAGACCTTTTTTTCCAGCAAGTCAATGCGGTCTGATGTGTTGAATTTGTTCTTCCTGCAGGGAAGTGTTGTATATAATTGGACTGTTCCCTAGTGCTTGTGTATTTGTTGTGTTGTTTAAATAATTTATGTTTTTAATATTGTATTCCGGTCAGTAAGCCACTCAGAGTCAGTTTTATGACTAAAGTGGTATATAAGCCTAAATAAATAAATCTTGGAGTGCGTGGGACAGTACGGAATGCAGGAACCAGGTCCGGTTTAAATCAACATTATGAGGAAGTGAATATGTGTAGCTCAGGGTTGGCATTCTTGCAGTTGGTTTTTGGGACACAGACATTTCATTACCCTACTAGATAACATCATCAGTACAAGAATTTTATAGAAGTGAGATTCATTGTTTGGTGGGATTATATATTCTTACTGCCTTGCCTACTTTGCCTGTGCTTGGATGGAAAAGTCCTATGGGTAGATATATTTTTTTGCAAGTGACTGATGCCTTGTTGGTAATAGATTATTTATTTGACTGAGAAGATGGTAGTTCTGTCTTTCATCTATGTGTTGATTCCTTCCTGTGTGATCAGTAGTATTGATAGCTATGTGAGGGAATAGCTCATTGGGAGGGTGCTATTCTTTTCCTGTCATTAAATTCTAGTTGTGTTTCAGTTAGTAGGTTGATAAGCTGTAGTTTATCTAGGTGCCAGCTGATTGCTTTGGGATGAACTGGAATGTTGTATGTTGAGCTGATATGCTAAAGTTGGATAAAGGACTATCTTTGGAAAGGCCCATAGGTAGGGTTTAAGCTTATATGTCTAATGATCCCTGCTTGCTGTTGCAATCTGAAAGCAAAATGAATGGTGTTTTTTATTAAAAAAAAAAAAAAAAGAATGCATGATTTAAAAAAAAATTACAATGAAAATTCCTATGAATAATTAAGTTTGGAGCTCATTTTGTGAGTCAGTTTTTTATACAATACATCATAAGATTAGGCTTAGGTGCCTTGCTATGGCATTGGAACCACATCAGATATTTTCACCTTATTTTAAATTTAGGGTTTAGTTAATATACCCTGTTTCAGATGATTTTAAACCTAGCAAGAACCAGTTTTCTCTTGTCTGAGAAATTTATCCATACTTCTTGGTTGTTCTCTTCCACCTTGCCTTTATGTTATGGAAGATGCATCTAAGTAAAATGATCTAAAATTGGTTCATGTATACATGCAAAAGTAATTAAGAAGATTCATATTTTAAATGGTGTAATCTGATATCTGCAGAACAAATGAGTGTCCTTATATTCTAAGAAGACAGTGACTGATGCAGAAAACGTTTTTGTGCCTGGTGGTTGCATATAGTGCAAACCTATGTTGAAAATACTGATGACTGTTCTAGCTTTTCATAATTTGGGGTCAGATGAAGTTAATACAACACATGCGACAGCCTTTTTCAAATTTGTTACAATTTAATGTCTTTCTGTAACTGTGCAGCTGATCTGTTTGCCATATGAAATGAAGTAAAAAGTTGGCAGTTGATTTATCATTTCCCTGTTTACTCAGAGGCAAACCCTATTTGGTAGACAAGATGACCTTTTGGTCCTTCGTAATTCTGTGATTCTTAGTGGGCTTGTCAGCTTACAAATGGAGAGTCACTCTGCTCCTTTAAAGCAGCATTTCTTTTCCCCTCATCCTTCCCTTCACCTTGTCCTTTCACCTATCTTCTATTGCCAACCTTGGCTGTTCTTGAAAAGCTGAAACATGGCTTGGTTGGTACTTAGAATTCCAGGGCTATAGGCTAGAAAGCAATGGCAAACCACTTCTGTATTGCTGCCAAGAAGACTACATGGATGTGTCCATACAGTTTTCTTTGTTTTTTTTCTCCTTTCTACAAACAGAATTCCAGGTATACCACACAGTAGAAAGCTCAATAATGGGTACTAATCATTATGAATGTGGTGTCTTCTGCATAATCAATCACTGCAAAGACCAGAGAAAATCTTTCAGTTGTGACCTGGCAATCTGTATATCAGTTTCTCATTGCACAACATTAGAATTACTGAAATTCAGAATCAAACCTCTTGTTTTCATCCATTAAATTAACATCAATCAGTGTTAATGCTTAGGAACAGAATCAATTTATGTCTAAAAAAGAACAGCACACAAATTATATGATCAAAAGAATTACACATGCCAGGCAGAAAATAGCTCTCTAAAATTGTGGAGATTCTTTGCTAGTTGTAATCTTATTAAACATGATTTTTTTAAAAAGGACTATGTAAAAGGAAAGGCAAGCTTGTAATAGGATATTTTCATATAAGCGCAGACATCTGAGCAAGATGATATAGTTATCAGCCTAATTTCACCATTTGTTGCCCTCAAAGCTGGCTAAGAATGGTGGGTGTTATGGTCCCACATATTTGGAAAGAGCTACTGTACAACAGGGAAGATTGACCTTGCTCCGTAGTGAAGCTTATCATTCTATATTAGGCATCAATATGCTGTCAAATCTTTATTTGATATCTGTACAAATTGTGGTAGCTCAACCTTTGGTGACTTTTTATTCTCTTGGGAACATATAGACTGGAGAATAAAAACTCTGAAGTGTTCAGCTTGTTTTCATACCCCAAAAAGGGTCTGTGGGCAGTGTATTAGCAGGCTTCTTCTTATGAACTCTATGAGACATAGAGCTCCTT